TTCTAACTATAGTGGGTACTCCGATTTGGAAATGTATATATTATTATATATATGTGTGTGTGTGTGTGTGTGTGTGTGTGCTGTGTGTGTGTTGTATATAGTATAATATATATATAATATATAATATAAATATAATATAGTATATATATAATAAACGGTTCTCCCTTACTATTAAACACCTTGCACGTGATAGTATACATAAGGTATATATATAGGCATAACATATATTCAGGTGAAGAGCACTTAATCTTTCATAGTGATCATTAAAATATTTCTATTATTATAAACAACTATATATACACGTATATATACATATATATACTTTAATATATGAATAACTAATATTATATTATACAATTATATATGACTACACCTCTGTTATATATATACCGCCTGTTATATAGTACAGTATAATATATTATATTATACATAATATATATATTTATATACATATATATATACATACATATATATATATATATTGTATATATATATATGTATATATATATGTATATATATATGTTTATGATATATGTTATATATATAGTATAGTACTATTTAATCTATATATATAATTATATTATATGATATAGTTTAGTATCATTCCTACTTATATTATATGGACCAATGGGATGGATAGGACTGTTAATATTTTGGAATAAGTTTTTAGGTGCCAATAGAATATATAGATGTATGCTATGTAAAGGCCTTTAAGGCATATTTGTTGTCTTTGTGTCCCTTTGTTGCCCTCCTGTTAACATGTATTGCATGTGTGTGTGTATATTAGATAGAGAGATACGGTCTCATTCAAAGAGACCCTGAATTTAGCCATCAATATAAAAAGAGGGAGATCTACATATAAGGGGTATAGATTAGATGTTTGATAACTTCTAGATTGATTGGTACTATATATATATAATATACTGTATAGTATGCTAATATAGTATATATATATATATATTACTACACCTATATTACTAGCTGACTATTTATTTTTACAAAATTAGATACAATTCAGACAAATGTACATATTTTATACATATATACATCAGTAACATATTTCTAAATAGCGCTATCATCGCTTCACCAAGCTACATGCCACTTAGTACAATAAATTACTATTATATACTCGGAACTCTCTAAGGAGGGTATATTCTGTATTTAGTCTACTACAGCTATTATATATATATATGTACACTACATATATATTCATTTATATTATACATTATATTATATTATACATATGTTATACATATATATATACATATATATTATATATATATTAATATATAGCAATATATATATATAATTATTTAAACATACTAATTATGTATACAATATTACTTCATACATACTCGATCATCATTACTTGCCAAGACACAGGGCACAAGATCAAGATTCATCTTACTTAATTTGCACAGATGTATTATATATATATCATTTTGGCAAATTATTACTATAGTATATCCTATTTTGGCATAATATAAACTCATAATGGTGACCACACATCATACTTAATAACTATTATATAATATAGGCGTAGGTATATATATATATATATATATATATATATATATCTCATGTTGATATGGTGACGTATATATGTATGTTATTATATATATATGTATATTATATATATTATATATTATTTTATATATATATTATGACAATATATACTACTATTATATATATATATATAATATATAGTCATATATATATATATATTATATATATTATATATATATATATATATATGTGTGTGTGTGTGTGTGTTTGTGTGGTGTATTAATTATTTATATATGTGTATATATATATATATATATAATATTATTTATATATATATATATATATATAATTATATATGTCTTATTGAAAATGTAGTGTTGGTGATGTTGTGTGTGTGGTGTGTGTTGTGTGTGTGTGTGTATTTATGTGTATTATTATATTTATGCAGGATAGATAGAGTTAGATAGATAGATAGTTTAGATAGATAGATGATATAGATAGATTAGATTAAGGGAATGATAGAGTAGATAGTAGATAGATAGGATGATAGATAGAAGATAGAGTATAGATATATAGTTCTTATATATAGAAAGATAAGATATTAGATATAGATTTAATCTCTCATATATAGAATTATAGTTACAGCATAGAGTATATAGAATATACTCACGTCATAACAGCCATATAGTCACACTTTTAGAGAACAATGTCCATGAAAATATTATACCAAAAAAAACTCACCATATATAGTAGATACATGATAGATATAGGTTTAAATTAGGTAAGATCTCTTCTTCTTTTCCTT